ACATTAATTGTAGGATTAGTTGTTTGATCCCCAGTTCAGACAGTCAACCCCAATTGCTCTGGGGCAAAAGTAAGTTGCTAAATCAATGTAATGTAATTTAAAAGTAGATTTTTAAAAAAGAAGACACAACCATAAATGACACGGTTGCACAGTATCTTGTGTGTTTGATTAAAAGAAAGGGTGTTTGACAAAGATCTCCAATAACCTAAGACTTTCCTTGTCATCATTCCATTGGTTAAAAAATGTGGCTCGATTAGTTCTGTTCCAGTGGTTCTTTGCGGAGAGGGTTGGGTGGTTGGATTAACAAACATTGACTCTAATATGCAGAACATTCACATCCTGGCTCCCACCAAGAGTCAGTCTTTGTTTTCATGACCGCAATCTTCTCCCAACCACTTTTTTATGATTAGGTTTATGCACTTACAACACTTGGTTAAATATATGGAAAGATGGTTGTCTTGGTGTAGTACAGAAAAAGTTCATAAATGTAGCTTCTCATTTACTCAAAAAATAATTGCCTGTGAACATAATCCAGGCAGTGTTTGTGTTTGACACCATAACGTGATTGAGAACATAATTTAATTCCATATTAATAGAGATTCACACTATAGACTTCAGCATGGACTAATATCAAATCAACACAACACACGACCACTAACATAACTTATTCTCTTATTTCCTGACTAACTTTTGTTAACAGTCCTGTATTCATTGTTCTCGACTTCCTTGTGTTGTTCTGTTTTGTCTTGCATTAAAAAATAAAGGAAAAAAATGGAAACCATATCCTGGTCGCTCTAAATAATCTAAAAGCTTTAATTTGTATCATTTTCACCAAAGAAATAGGCTCAGTAATAAATTCAGATTTATATTCTGTTTTCTGTTCAAACAAGCACATGAGGAAACTTAACAGAGAACAAAAGCAGTGACCGCTTGATAACCATAGCTGTTTCAACCTTGGCTGGATGAATGAAAAATGAAATAAAGTTGCCACATGACATTTACAGTAACTGAGTTGGAACATTTTAAATTGCAGACTGGAACAGAGGACAAGCTTCACATAACAGAAAAATCACGATTGGCTTTGTTGGTTTGAAGAATGATAATGGAAATGGAGGGACCTCTCTGGCCCTTTCTACAGAACCCAGAGCCTTGATTAGAGATGCTTAATCATGGTCGTATTCAGACTCTGATAATGCAACAAATTATAGCTTGCAGCGGGCTCTGTTTGATTCTTTAGGACTGAAATTCCTCTAAGTGCAAAGAACACACCTGGACTCCAGAGTGGATGCAATTTCCAGCTTCAGTTTTGATACCTTAAAGTATTGATTGTGACTTTAAACAAACAGCATAAGGTGTGCTCAGAATATGAAGCTATCGCTGCGTTTTAGAGAAGGAAGCGAGCCACACATAATGATTCAAATTGAGCAAGAATTGACCTGATCATTTCTTTAGCAGCAACCATGATCTTGAACTTGTGATCAAAAATCTGGTGAAAAAAGTTTGAACTGAAAAATCTGAAAGAAATCTGTTTATTCAGTGAAAAATAGGAACAGCCTGCTAGCTGAATGTCGTTGCCATGCAGCTGATGCAGGAGTGATGTTGCTGATATCATTGGAAGTGTATTTGTCTCTCTGAATCAATCAATTCACTGTTATGCCAATTACTCCCAACGGATGCTGATGACCCTTGACTGTCCAACACTTACAAATAAATAATTCCAATTAATTGCTACTGTGACCAAGTCCGTTTACAGTTAGCTGTATATTTATATAATAAAAAATGAAAAGTCAACAGACTACACAATTCAGTATATATGGAGAGTAATGGATTTGGGTTTAAAATGAAGCTCTCATTTCAAAAAACATTCCTACTTAATACCAAATTGCATAAAACTGCCTGGACAATTTGTAATGATTGACCAGTAAAATAAATTGACATCTATCCTTGACCCCATGAGGATTCCCATCAAGGAGGACAAGACCCCCACCCCCAAACCCTGGAGACCGATCTACAACTTCCCCCAAAGCTTCATGGACACACACTCAGCCCGCCTGACTTCCTCCGAGTCACAAGCATTCCACGCGACCTCATTTGGCCGACGTCATTGCTCGCCGTGTTCCCTCCAGATGTGTTGTCCCTGTGCAGTATGTATCTGTCGGAGGATGCAAGGAGCCGTCGGAAGATGTGACCCCAATACCTTCACCCCAGTCCCCAGAGAGCACAGCCCGCCGCTGTGATGCTGCTGCAGCCATTATTTCCCATTAGTGCTTGACAGCGGGCCGTTTGTAGCAGCGAGACCCTGCCGAGAATCAGGTCAGCCACCGTGCCCCCATCCCTTTGTTGGCACATGTGCTGTTCGACCTCGCGTGGACCGTTCACGGGTCCACATCTTTGGTGGAGGTTATCTGAAAATAAGGACAAACAAGCTTGTAACCTACATTTGCTGTAAATAGGTTGCTTTGAATGAATGCCAGTACTACCGAGTACAGTTGAATTTAAAGCCAAACCAAAAAGTAAGACTGTAAACTTTAGACTATGAGTCCATAGCCATGCTGTGAGGCAGTACAGAGCTAAATGCTAATGACATTCTCTTAGGGACAATGCTATAATGCTGATGTTAAGCAGGTATAAGGCCATTGTCACCATCTTGTGTTAGCATGCTAACGTGTGCTAATTAACACCAAACACAAAGTACAATTAAGGCAGATGGGGATGTCATTTTGCAGGTTGTAAACAGTGGTGGACAACATTAAAAGTGGTCCTGATGATGGCACTAGATCACCAAAGTCACAAGGTTTCATCAGGTTCCATGAATGTCAACACCAAATTGTGAACCAATCTGGTAGCTGTTGAAATATTTCGGTGAATAAGATAATTTTGAAACACATTTGAGAAACTCAATTTCCTTGTGAATGTGGGAGGTTAGAGTTGAAATGTGTACCAACTCCAATCATCACAGTGAGGAAGATATTACCTGGCTAAAACCACGTGGACGCCGCTGACGACATGGTTTGGGCCCCTTAGATCAAACAAAGGGGAACTCTTAGTGCTACAGCATGCAATGATATTTTAGTCAAAAGTCATCCTCCAACTTTGTGTCAACAGTTTGCGTTTGACCCTTTCCTGTTTCAACATGACTATGCCCCCGTGTACAAAGCCAGCTCCATCAAGAAATGGTTTGTTGTGTGAGAACTTGACTGGCCTACACAGAGCCCTGAGAACCATCCACATCCACCACCTTTGGAAATGAACCGGAACGCCGACTGAATCCAGCCCTCACCCTCGGCCTATTCAGGGGCCTGAAAGTCAGATCATGGTTGTACTCTGCAGGTGTCTACATATTTTTTGCCATGTATTGTATCTGTGTATAAGGTTAGGGTGAAGTTGTGCTTTTGAGTGTGTGGAAATAAATAAGATTTGGATGGACAAATCCCCTCCAACAGCAGAGAAAACAAAGTTTGGAGTATTAGATTGTCCTTCAGTATACAAGACAATCCAGCTCAAAGCAAACAGGGCAACACTGTGTTTGGGATCATGCCAGTGAATCATGAAAGTAAACACACACACAGAGCCGGCACAGCAGAGCTAATCATGATTGCTGCTGCATCTGCGCCGAGTCCTCTCGTCTAATGAACAGATATGACAAGCACTTCTCTCATCGTGTCATCTAATTCATCATCTACTGTCCTCTACTTTATTTTTTATTTTTTCTGTATTGTTCCTTCTGGCTGATTGGAAATAAAATGCAATTAGCAACAGTTTTCTTCTGACCCGATTTTATGAGCAATTTAAATTCAAGAGGCCCAAATTTACTGCATGCACATACTTCATTCATTTATAAGTATGCAAAATAACACACACACACACACACAGTCACACAAAGTCTGTGACAGGCTTTTACTGCCTGTAGCAAGCTGGAATATTAACAGCCGTGTTGTTATCGAGGCTATTCATAAATGTCACAATATAAATTGAAGGTTAGCACTGTTGGAATATCAGCTGAACATACTATGGACTGACAAATCACAGTTTAAACCTATTCAAACTAACCACTGAGTAGAGGGGCAAAGAAAAATGGCTACCCAAAATATTTAAAGCCCAAATTCAAGCACTGTTGTGGTTCAAGAATGATCTAGGGTCAGTAAAGTTTTTCTGGAATGGAAAATGAATAAATCGGTATTTTAGGAGAAAAAAATGGTCACAACAGAATTCTCTCCTGCCATGGAACACCGTGGGGACTAAATGTAAGTCTATTTCTTCTTCTTTTGGGGCCAAAACGATTTCAACTGTAAATAATACATTTGGTGTCTAAATTTTACTCAATCCATCTCCGTTAAATAGTTATTCAAGGAAAGAAGAAAAACGTCAATGTAACGGATGACTCCAAACTTTTGAGCGCGAGTCTTTCCTCCGCTCACACACACACACACACACACATGCAGTGTTCGTCCTTTTCAGCCTGTTTAGTTTACCTCGATGACACAGAGGGCACGCTAGAAGTATCCTATCCTTAAAATCTTCCTTCCCCTTCTCCTTAAACGTCTGCTTTGGCTCGGCATGATGAATGATCGCTCGGACCAATCAATTCTATTTAGATAAGCTTGCCTCCAGAGAGGACAGGAAAGGGAAGAAGGATGGATTTTTTGAGTTGCAACACAGAGGCCCAAGGTTATTGTTATTTGGGCTGCTCTCCAACCTGATATTTTTCAGGTATCTGTAACACGTCTACAGCTGTATTCTGAGATATGAACCTCCGGGAAAGTTATGTTTTGATACATTTCTTTTTTTTCTGTTTTTAATATCAGGCTTGTGTATATACATATAGGCTTACACTGTTAACCCTCTTTACATTTATATGTAAATTCGTCTCAATTTCTTTTATTTGTAATTATTTTCTATTTTTAAATTATACATTCATAGTGACAATTTTGTAGGAGTGGCTGTGGAGGGAGGCCTGAAGGGATGGGACTGAGTATTGCGGTCTTGACAAATTTCTCCCTAGAGTTATCAACTTTTAGAGCTAATGCTGCGAGCTACTTGTTGGAAACACTGGGCTGTCTTTTTTCCGGTTGGGTACCTTTTTTCCACATTACCAACTACAGCTTTAAAGAAAAACAAGAGAAGGAAAAATTCAATTTTATTTTCATCTTTTTTGTTTATTTCTCTCAGAACAGAGTAAAGGACTTTGGATCATCTGTGCTGTGTTTGAAGTACTATTCAAAGATGAGGCGAGTAATTATGCACTGGTAGAAGTCGTGACACTGCGTACATCAAGAATATTACAGTAAATATTCTAGCTTCACCCATATTATGACATTTGTCTAAAGTTACAGAGAAATGGTACACAGCAAAGTACAGCAACACATTTCCAAATAGTACTTCAACAAAGTAAGTCCCAGAAATCTGAACTTGAAGTGACGCTTCAGCTCACCTTCTTCTTCAACAATGATATCAAGTGTTTTAGTAGTGAGTGTTACAGCCGATATGCAAAAGTGATGTTTTACCCAACAGCGCCCCCCAGTGGCTCATTAGCCAGGTTGCTAACATTTCCTGAAACGGCAGAAACCACCACCAGACAAGGTGTTGGCTTGTATTTATTTACTTGTCAATTGTAGGATGTTGCCTTCGGTCCTTTCGTATGACCTTAAACACATTATTGATATGACATTATTTCACACAGAAGACATTGTATCATTTACTACAAAACAAGTTCAACTAAAGTTGTCCAGTTACCACATCTTGCATGATGTACTTTTCTTACACATATCTCTCAGACTGAGTAAAGAAGCTGTTTCTCAACATTTGGCATCTGACTTGGTTTTTAGGTTGTAAAAAAAAAAACTCCTCATAGCCACAGATACAAGTACTGTGATTGTGAGAGTGACTCTTTCATCTTTTACTTCATGAGCTTAACAAGATCTCAGGAAGACAAACTCAAAACATTTAAGAGATCTTTATACGTTTTCATCAGAATATGTTAAATCTTACTTTTAAGCCTAGTGATCCCATTTAGAGACACTCCTGTTATGAGACACCTTCCCCTGTACATGGACGATCCACGTACGAATGTAAATCACGACACTAAAGAATAAATTACAAACTTGCCCCAAATGAGTCAATATTTACGTTCCACCCTCACAAATGTCATTAGAAACAGAAAGAAAACGCTGCATCACCTTCATAACAAAAAAAAATCCCAGACTTTTCCAGGCATGCACACATCAACATATGATAAACTACACCTGCATGTTTAGAGCACAATTTCAGGCATTTTCCATCACATTGGAGCTGTGAATAATCACATTTATATTGCAGTTCCTCTGCTGCCCCTGAAAGGTAAAAGTAGCAGGAGGCTTGCTTCAACATCTTTGAAAAAATCCTCAAACATCATGGATTGCTAATATATATATATATATATTTTTTTTTTTTAAATGTTTACCTCTTTCACTGAAAAAGACCCTCTGGAGAAAAAGCTAACCTGTAATTATCTGCCGTCCTGACTAACATAACTAAAAGAGACCTGCACATAGTTTGTGAAGTGACATGTTTTTGAGGCATTATTTCAAAGTCTCCCACTTCTTCCTGTGAGTGACGGATGATTGACAGGAATCAGGGACATGAAGACACAATGGAATGAGGATATTTCATTACAATATTTTGTTCAGTGGAAGCTGACTGACTGTCAAAGTGAAAGGCATCAAATGGTGTCTAGGAACACCAGCTCTTATATCTGCTACAGTGCCCGCAGAATGAAACATTGAGGGGATCCCACCACACAAACATGGAAGGTAAAGAGCAAATGGATTTAAGGCAAGAGAAAGTAGAATTCTGAGCTCTGTTGACGGTCGGAAATTGCGATTTTGTAGCAATTTGATAAGAATTGAGGATTCCGAAACAGCCTTTTCGTGAAAGCTAAATTGGACCTACTGCACTTCCTTCAAAGTCACATGGAAACACTCTAATGCAGGAAGGAGAAGGAGCATGACTCAGACTGTAAGTCATAATGTCCGAGATCACCCGGAGCTAGGGTGCCCATCTCTAGGAGGAACAAGTGGAAAACAGACAGAATCCAACTTTTACACGACAAGATAGCTGTTTTTTTGCTTTCTCCTCCTACTACGACAAGATTTCCACTCAGGATTTGATAAGAATGTGAACCAATATGTAGAACCTGAATCACAAAGATCTAGACGGTAACCAATCCCACAATTTGTATTTTTATGTACTGTATTCTAAGCACTTGCAGTTAGACACTTCAGAGGGTGCCTATACGTTGCTTTCATAGGACACACTTGTCCGCGAACCTGGCACATGGAGGCTCCTCCCAGCATCCAAATCCTCGTCGTCCATCTTCTCAGACACTGTGTGGATTGAAACTTTGACATCATTGTTCCCTCCGCTTGGCAGCAGCGCCCGACACACCTCCCCCCTTTCTTCATCTCCCTTTCTCTCGGCGGAGGGAGGGCCTATAGCTTGTCTGTTCCTGGACACCGACGTCCCGAACTGCTCTGCGTGGGGCCTCGCGTTCCCCGTCTCTACGACCTCCTCCTCGGACGTGCGGCAGTTGAGGATGAGCGGCGGCAGAGGGACGCTCCGAGCCAGATCCTCCATGTGACGGGCGAACTCCATGGTCTTGAACTGCGTGACCTTGGCGAGCTCCAGCGTCTTGGCCGACGTGATGATGGGAATGCGCTTGGCGACCTCCAACGCCTTCTGCAGCTTCTCTGCGCCCTCCGTGCGGAAGAACTCATTGATGGCCCTCTCGGTCTTCTTCAGGTGGCTGCTGACCATGCAGAGGCGCGCCACGTTGAGGGTCATGATGACGGTGAACGTCACCAGGCAGATGATGACGAAGTAGAGGCCCAGGCCACCGTCGATGTGGGCGACGCGGAGAGTGACGGCGTAGCTTTCGGTTCCGTCGGTGACGCAGGTGTAGCGGCCGCGGTCGTCAAAGGAGACCACGGTGATGTTCAGGACGCCCTTCTCCTGCATGTTCCACTTCCCACCTGAAGTCAGAGCACATATATCAATGCTGTGAGTTAAGAAATGGGAAAGCAGGAACACTTTTTATTTTAATCATCTCCTCCGTCAAGTTTGGGATGCATCAAAACATGTCTCCTTTGTTTGAATACATGAATTAATTTTTGGACATATTTAAAATAACATACAGTAACCTAGATGTGTTATTTTTACTTGAAATTCACTTGCTGGGTGTTTAGACGTGTGTTGTTGACTTATAGGGTGTCCCTGTTTACATACACCAGTTTCAGAAAAATACACATTAACATATACGTACATATAAATTAAGTGTATGTGTACACATTTCCTCCTCCTACCTGTGTCAGCCAGCAGCGTTCCTTTAGAGTTGTACCACTTGATGTCGTCGTATGCTGCGGTCACGTTACACTCAATCAACGTGCTGGATCCCTCCTTCACCACGATGTTCCTGCTGGAGGGGACGCTGGGCAGCAGCACAGAGGATACCGCCTCCGACCCGTTCAGAGCTCCGTCCGCTGTCCGGCCACCGAGCAGCAGGACTGTGAGAAGCAGGTGGGACAGGTGGTGTTTCTGAGGCGAGAACATGTCGAAAGGAGTTGCCGCTTCAGCTCACATTTAGACGGGACAAACCTGCAGAAGAGGAAAAGTCAACGGTTTTGGCTCATGCAGGAAAACAGGATTGTGGACACTTTCTTCAGGACAACTTGTATGGATTACTTTCTAATTAAATAGAGACATTCAAATTCAAACCACATTTTCCATCTGCAAGTTCAACATTATTGTCTTCAATCTTTTTCTAACCACTATTGATTTTTTTGCTTTTCCTTTTATCACATTGTTTAATTAGAATGTGTATCTCAGTATTAATTGTGTTGACTTTTATTGCCTGTTTTCATTGTGCTTTTGTTACTCTTGAAAAGCATTTTTTAGCTAAAATAATGTTTATTTTGTTCCCTTGACTTTTCAATGCCAAATAATAAAATCTGTGGTCAGTGCTGTCCCTCAAGAATGATGTACAAAAACAAAGCTGAAGATAACAGTTAATGGATTAGCCCTGTAGAAGAAATAAGAATGCATGTTATCGTTGAATACATTACAAACTGTGGATTTATTTGGTAATATATAGTGATTCTGTAGGAGATTTCATTAAATCAGTATTGTTAGGCTACATAAATAGCCGTCCAGTTGATTTATTAAGCACTAAGCTCAAAGCTCATCTGTCATAATGAAGGCCCAGCACATTTTACAAAAGGAAGAAAGCCCACAAACAGCAAATTCACCAAAACCCCAAACACACCTGGAGCCCTTGATTCTCACGTGCTCGGACAGCGAGAGAAACAAATCCTAGACCAACAATGTTTGTAACTCCACTGTTCGAATATATTCCGTTTAGAGTTATTTTAGTCTGCTAACCAGCTGTAGCTCGTTTCAGCAAAGCTCCGCTCGGTCCGTTCACTTCCTGGTGGTTCAGGTGCGACTGAGTGGGCGTGGCTTCTTCTCAGGTGCAGGTGAGTGATTTCTATGTGTAATCAGCGCTGAATTAAATATCGCTAATGTTGTACCAATGATGATACTGAAAAAATATTTTCATCTCATTTTGACATCAAATATTTTCTTTTGTATATTTGCGTCCAGTTAAATGTATTGAGGACAATTCAAACAGTTTTGTTTCTATATTTAATTGTCGACACAAAACATTTGGATAGATGGATGACATTAGACATTAAAAATATCTATATATCAGGTCAAGATTTCTCTTTTTCTAACTGTGAGATGGACAAGATTTAGTCGTGTACATATTGTTAATAACAGTATTCATTCCCACTAAATCCACTGACTCCAGTGACATATTTTGCTTAGCACTGATTGCTGAATAACAGATTCAAATGTTGCTAAAATGTGTTAAAATCATAGGAGAGCCGTGAACAAAACATTGTTTTTGTTTTACAATATTCATTTTTTTAATGGTTCAAATGTTATTTGTATTTTCTAGAACAAAGGAATTGATGAATTACTTAATTTATAAAAATAGACATGGAAGACAAACAAAAAACATAACGTTGCTGTCTTTTATTTATGTGAGAACGAAAGTTGGCAGTGTTTTTTTTTATACCGGAAGTTCAAATTATTTAATTTTCACTGTTCCGGAAGTTGACGGGTGACGTGATTAATCCTTCCATCAAGCTATGTTGCGCGAGATAGAGGGAGACCGGTAGTATGGCAGGTCTTCCTTCAAAATAAAATCGTATGCCTCGCACCCTTGGGAAAAGTCAAATAATACGCTAATCTAAAATGTACAGCTCACATTTCAAGTATCTATAAATATATAGATAAACATTAATACATGTTGCAGTTCGTGTTCGCACACATTATTCATTTTATAGATCTGTTTTTGTGAAATCTCAATGTTCTAAACTGATACTTTTATTTTGAAGATGCTGACCGGAAACCATGTTTCTCAATGTGACTAACTGGTCAGGGAAAACAAACTGTGACGTGGCTAATCTGTGGACAAAAAGAACCAGACAGCCTGAATCATTAAACTGTTTACTGGATAACTAAAAGGCGTTAAAGGTGTAGAGATATAAAGGAGATAACCCATTCGTGTTGTTGATTTTGGGAAAGGAAACTGGTAGCAGGCTAGGGTAACGTTAACTGTTAGCATCAAGACTTTGACAGGAGAGAATGTGAGTTTGTTGCTAAAGTGTAACGTTGTGTTGTTTTCACCCGACTAACAAGAAGTAGTGTTGATAACGTGTAAAATAACAACTAACGCTCCTCCTAGCCATGTTGCCAAGTTGTCATAACGTTAGCTTACTAATAGTACTAGTAACTCACATTAAGGCATGCATAGCAGTTAGTTAAACTATTATTACTGTACAATGACACCAGTAGAATGTGTGATTTACAGATCTAAATGTATGGTTTAGCTATATGTTGTAATTCTCATAATATGAATCCTTGCTTGTATGCACAGTATTCATACTCTGCTCTTTTTGTGATTTGGACTTTAAACGAACACTCTCCAGCTGCACAAGATAAACAACAACTGATTAGTTCACTGTGGGCCCATGGGTGTTTTGAAATGCATTCTGGGAAATGTACGACACCACCGTTTGAAGAGAAGTCAACACCTGGAATGAATGCGTTGGATATCAGAGAGTGTTTGTCTCTGACAGTTGAGGAATAATTGGACAGTTGGACAGTCTCCCTATGTTTATTTAGTGATTAGTTAGAAACCCCTCACATCAAACACTTCAAACGTCTTCAGATAACTTCAATACAAACCAGCTCTGCATTCACTTTGTTGCTTTTTGTTCCCAGCTCTGCTTGTAAGCAGTCGATGCTCTCAATAGCAAAACCTTGCGCTGTATGCAGTACTGTGATTGGATAATTATCTGTAATATTTACATCTTTTTGTCATATTTTCACATTAAGGCATGCACTAAGACGTTAAGATGTCAGACAGCGAAGCTACAGCCGCAGAGGGTGCCGAGGTGGCACCAGAGATTCAGAACGCCTCTCCCGCAGAGACGCCTGACGGCTCCTCGCCGTCCGCCCCCGACACCTCGACCGACGTGGCCCCGACGAGGAAAGCCAGGAGGAGGCCGGACGTCAAACCTGAACCCAAAGCTCAGGAGATGCCAAAAGTAGAGGAGCAGCCGGCAAAGGCACCGGTAAAGATAACCGTTGGTTATACGAGACCAAACCACGAATGAAGTTAAAAAATGATTGATTATTATTGATATGTTAAATAATAATTATTGACTGATTCTTCACAACCGTACGTTTCTTGCTCTCCCTCTGTCTTTTCATTCCCTCCTCTTTCCTTCCATCCTCATCCTCGTCTCCTTGTCTCCTCTCTCCTAGACACCGAGTGAGTCCACTGTGTCTCAGGGTGGTTGGGGATACTGGGGCAGCTGGGGCAAATCCATCATCTCCACTGCAACAGCTACTGTGGCCACCGTGGGTGAGTACAGACCACCGAACTAACACAATCTCTGTGTTTTATCTTCAGACGCTTCCACTTAGTCTCGCCTCGGTTCTGCATCTTCACTTGAAACAAAGCAGCATGCCGTGTGACATTATACGTGTTGAAGTAAAGCTTTAATAGTTCAGAATGCAGACTTGAAGTTATGTGAGATACCTGATGGTAAAATGTAATATATATTAACCTTTAATTTAGCATTTTCAAGGTAAATGTAGTTGTGTGTGCTGGTCAAGTGATCAAAGAACAGTCCAAGAAATAATTTGAATGTACTTCTTATTCTGTCTTGTCCTTACATTTTGTGTTGTCTGTTATAATACACTTGTCCCACCTCACTGTAAAAACGTCCTCTACACTCTATACGTGCTTCCTGTCTCCTCCGTCCGTCCGTCCAGGCCAAGGGCTCACTCAGGTGATTGAGAAGGCAGAGACGTCGCTGGGGATCCCCAGTCCCACCGAGCTCTCGGCACAAGTCGAGGAAGAGCAGAACGAGCCCGGTAAAGGAATTACTCCAACCACCATGAATCTACTCCTCTTGTACACAGATGTGTATATATATGAACATCAGTCGATATATCACACATTTTGTCCATATCGTATTCACCTTGTATAACAGTACGTGATGTGTTTTGTTTCTCGTCCTGCAGGTGAATCCAGCAGCGAGACGGACAGAGCGGCGGGGGAGGGATCGGCGGCGGTGGTGGGTGGTGCGATGGGAATGCTGTCGTCGCTCACCAGCGCCGTCCAGAGCACAGTAAGCAGAAAACAATCTCATGTGGAGCAATGGAACTGAAAACGTACAGCGCTTGAGAAATGGTAGCAATGCAACGCTGTTTTTCACAGTTACTCTACATTGTTGTGCATTATCTCAAGTCTATTTGCTATTGGTTCATCTTTTAAAAGCAGGAGAGTTCATCTGAGAAAAGGAGGGTGTGGTTAATGCCAACAAAACCAGGCTGTATTTCCAAAGCTGACCTTTTGTAAACACGTAGTTTTCACTCTATCGGCAACAAATTATGACATGAGGTCAGGTCGTTTTGAATTCTTTAGTTCACAAGGTGCAGCAACTTTGCTCAAACATCATCCCTGTTCCATTGCGTCCTCACCAGAAGATAATTACCCATGTATAGTGTTTTAATAATACTAATAATATTGATATATCTTCATTTGTCCAGTTTTAATGCAGGAGGCAAGCTAGCAACGGAGACAGCAGAAGTTAGTGGTAGCTTAAGCTTCGTAATAACTCAACACATGAAAAGGTTCATGGTAGTCGTCCGCTAACAGCAGCTGTTCCTGTTGTTTACAAAGTACCAAGACACGTCATATGTCCGTCTCCTCACAGGGGAAGACGGTGATATCGGGCGGTCTCGATGCTCTGGAGTTCATCGGGAAGAAGACGATGGATGTGATCGCAGAAGGCGACCCCGGCTTCAAGAAGACCAAAGGACTGATGAACAGGAACTCCAGTCTGTCTCAGGTAGGCCAACCAAGGGCCACCGCGTAAACCGGGAGCTCCTTTTCAAAGTGCCACATATTTATATTTCATGATGGACTGCAACATTACCAGCCTAGAGTTGACCTTCAGCCCCTCCAAAAGATGAGAGGGAGGTGGAGATGAGACTTCATACCGTCTCAATAAACTTCAGCTGTCTGACGCTGGGCTTTGCTGCCGGTTGTCTTGACAGCTAGCTGACGTTTTCTCCCCTCTCTTTCAACTCTCCCCATCTCGTAGGTGTTAAGGGAGGCGAAGGAGCGGGAGGAGCTGCAGACAGCGGAAAAGGAGTTCTCAGATTCCGAGAAGAAGGTGGTCGCTCACTACGGGATGCTGTTTGATGAGTTTCAGGGTCTGTCACACCTCGAGGCTCTGGAGATTCTGTCTCGAGAGAGTGATTCTAAGGTACGGGGACACATACTGTGTCTAAAAAAAAAAGACTGAATCATTGCTTCTACGTCTCATGAATTAATTTGATCTGATGAAACCCTCAAATGTGACTGTGTGTGTGTTTTTTCTTACGGTAGGTGAAGTCGGTGCTGACCACTCTATCAGGAGATGAGCTGGTGCAGCTCAGAGAGCAGCTGGATCTAATCAAGGACTCTTTCTCCCTGGTGGAGTTTGATGATGAGGACGTGGACGAGAAGAAAGGTAACATCTCTGTGAACACAGCACCATGAACATCACAAGGGATGCAAACACCTGAAATAATAGATCTTACGTTTCTAATTCCAGACGAAGACGGCTCAGAGTTTGAGAGGGAGTTAGCGGAGGCCTTGGAAGGTCTCAGTATCACTGCCACAGCTGACAAACTCAGCAAGGTACCGACTACACAGCTCTGTGTTCTGTGAGGTGGCAATTTATAGTAAAATAACTATCGCCCAGTCCTATATGTGGCATTACAATTCAATCACTTCAGCCGTCCAGTGTGAACAGAGCGGTGGTGATGTTAATCCCATGATCTGTAACCTGCAACAGGCCTGCAAGAGCACCTGCAGCCGGATCGCTGACATGAGCAAACCAGAGACGGAAGAGGAAGAGGAAGAGGAAGATGTAAAGAAAACACCATCTGTAGAGGTATGCTGCTGACATTTTTTCACGTTACTACGGAGCGATCCATTTCAAGTTGCTATCAGACTGACAGGTTAAGCTCATAGCTTGGGAGTTGTGCTAATACTGTCTGGAAGAAAGGCAGTCCAACGTTGTCCTCGTATCACGTAAGACAACAAGTCGCTGAGGAATTTCAGCTGCGTGTGTGTGTGTGTGTGTGTGTGTGTGTGTGTTTCGTCAGGAGGTTCATGCTGCAGCCATCAGGAGTCTGGCGGAGCTGACGGCTCGATCCATCGAGCTGTTCCACAAACTGGCTGAGATGATCCTCTCCTCCAGCGGCAGCACAGAGGCCAGCGTTCTGTCGCAGTAAGACACCGTGGACTTTCTGTTTGGAGACGCTGCTGAAGTTGCACTTTCTGAATTCAGTTTTATCCGTACTTGAATGAAACATCTGTATTTTTCCCGTTGTCTGTCCTCAGGTTAACTGTTCTTCTGTGTAAAGAGCTCTCTCTGCTCTCCAGGAAGTTCACCTCCTGCCTAACAACAGCGGGGGTGAGTGTGGTTATTCTCACTTAACTTGTACATCAAACAGTTTGTTTTTTATTTATTCATAATGTGAAAGTAGAACTGGAATATGAATACATTAGAAATACCTGAAGGCCATTGTTTATTAAACAAATTACAGAATCCCGCCTTTCTCTTAAATGTCGATCTTATTTTAGCAAAAGTCTTAATACGTGCTGCTCTTTGCACCCTATCTTTTGCACATTATCAGCGCCGCCGCTTATTCATCTGAGAGTGTAATCTGAACGTTGTGTTTTTGCAGTCAAACGAGAAGGGAGAAGTCCTCAACCCGCTGATAACAGGAGTCTTTTTAGAGGTCTGTGTCACAGTACCACACCACAGTAATTATGTCACACTGTTCCATTCCATTACCTGTATGATGGGTCAGTTTCTCCTTGAAATTCTTACACATGTGAAGATGTTCCCACATCTTGAGGTCATTATTGATGCTGCATGTGTAGAATATAAATGTATACATTGTATAGAATCATTTATAGATATTTTACGCAATTATTAAGTCATTAAACCTTATAATGAATGATAAGTTAAAAGCAACAACTAAATGTTTCATACTATCCCACCTGTTGCAGTGCTATATTTGTGGCATAAGGCATTACAGGCACAGAAATATGAGCCTTTCAGAATGATATTGAACTGTGTTATGAATCCTCTTTCCTCGCAGGCGTCCAACAGCGCGTCGTACATCCAGGATGCCTTCCAGCTGCTGAGGCCCATCGTGGAGATCTCCCACATCCAGAGGAGAGCTGAATCCACAGAGCAGTGACCAGCTGAACGTCACCTCTGCCCACCACTGCCATGATGAACTGACACTTTGTTGGTCTGCGTCAGCTCTTACTATGTCTGGTGTTCAGCTCAGGAGATCTTACTCCTGGGAGGAAAAGTGTGTTTTTGTCAAACAGTGTTAACTTTTCTTGCAGCACTTGTTAAGCACAGGAGAGGGTCTCATTTCAAGTTGAGTATTGAAGAGGTCCGGATCTACCAGCTAAGTAAAACAAATGCATTTGTGTTAAACAGGGAGCAACCTGTTCCTCCTTTTTATTCTAACATGTACACTATTTTTGTTTTTAAAAGAAAGGTGTGTCTCATGATAAATAGTAAGATATGTTGATGATTATTTTTCTCTTTACTGCACAGAGATGAATATCTCTCTGAAACACCGAGTGTTGGGACTGAAACGTTTTGGCAGTGTCCAGCAGGCCACCGTGTATCCAGCTACCTGGGTTCTAGTTGACTTAAGAAGCTTTACATTACTTCTTCTAAATCTCCGATGTATAGATTATTGTTCTTTTTGTTTTTGGCAACCACAGTATCGTTCTTAAATCATGAGACTGGCTGCAGGTGGTTTACAGGACTGTTTGTAGAGGGAAGACGGTTTACTGCCATGCTTACATTTTGACTCTGACTGTTTGGGGTCAATTGTTTTTGTACAACAATATCAGCTTTAAATAAGCACTTCCTGTCAGCTGACATCCTCACATGTTTCAGATGCTCTCCATATTCACTTCCTGGTTTGTTTTCACTTTAGTCCAGCTGCAGAATTGAAGGCTAAAGACTTGGGCTCAATTTGAAACTTACAACTAATTAAAACAAATTCAAGTGTCAAGTTGTGACCTCATTGAAATGAAGAGCACAAAAATAATAATCAGACTGCAACAGTCGGGCCTTGTTTGGCCACACGGCTTCTATTTTTGATAATAAGGCCTGAACGACTTACAACATTCTGCCAATCAGTCGGCTCTGTTTTCTCTCTGTTGACCACACTTGTAATGTCCAGTTAGAAAAATATGCAAATATACTCATAGTAGATTTCAGCCATTTTAAGCTCCCTCTTTATGGTCATCAACTTCATTATTCATTATTTAGTCGACTAGTTTTAGTTTGTATTAGAAATACATTTATAATCAATTTGGTATGATAATAGTTAAAATCCTGTGTTTTGATGGTTGCAGGGCAGATACCTTTGTGTACTTTTGATCTCAGAGTGGTTTCAAGGTTTGGACCCAGTTGTTCAATTGAATTCAAATTTGTGAAAACAGTTTGTTTAAACTTTTCCTGTTGGACATGACAACGCACTCCCAATCCAGCACCGACTACGAGCCAGGTTTTGTTGGCTGAATGGGAGAGAGATCTTTCCAGCCAGGTTCCAAAATCTGGTGGAGAGTCTAAAACCAGAAGACTAGAGGCTTTTTAATGACTCATTTGATAATCACATTTGGGCATAATGTCCACTTAATGGTGTAAGTGCTGAATTAAAAACTTAAGTTGAAGTAAAATGTACTTAAAGTGTCAAAAGTAAAAGCACTAATATGATAAAAACAACAACTAAAAAGTCATATTGTTGTATTATTGATGCATTAATCTGTAAATAGACATTTGTTCCAATTCATCATGTTTTGTACTTGTGTTTTAAATTTAAAATCTTTATTTTTACAATAACAATTTGCAAAAAAACAAGTAACTATGGTCCTCAAATAAATGTATAAATGTTAATTTGCCTCTGAAATGTAGTTGTATTGTTTTGTATTTGCCCGTTGAGCCTAATTTGTCTCATTTCACGTCGTTACACAACCCATACAGTAGACGGCGGTGTGCGCATGTACCGTCTAGTTGTGATCTGCCAACACACACGAAGAAAATGTAGAATAGGGAGAAAACGAAGAAGAACAACAGAAGCGCTATCAACTAGCTAGCTTGTCAGGTTACGTCGAGAAACTTCTGAGGTAAACCTGTCTTTTTTATACGTGTATACTTCACACAGTGATACGATCCAACGTCCACAGTGTGCGTAGCAGTGGTGACACGTCGATACGTGTGAAAGCAGCGCCATTTCATTTATTCTTTGCTCCGGTGTTGTTAGCTTTCTCGGCAGCGCGAGGATTAGCTTGTAAACGTTAGCCGTTCATGCTAAGTACGTAGCCAGTGCTTTGGTCCCTCGCTGCAGCGTTTCTATCAATTTTGCTTCAAACTGTTGTAACCAAAACCTCTCGAGTTGTTAAACACTATTAATGTTATTAATTTCAAAAGACTTTAAGTTAAAAGGGACGCTTTTCATTTCTGGTGTTATTTTGTTAGATATCTGATATTATAAACAACTAATAGCTAACTTGTATAAGGTTGATTCAACGTAATGGTATGTTAACATAAAGGCAGGAAGTCCTATTTCATAACTATTCGTAAGGAGTTGCATCAAAATAATGTAACGTTAGTCATTGCGATGAATGAAGAAGAAAAATGCCGCTAAAATCCGTTACTGTACCGTTAGTAGCTAATACTAAAACACCTCGTGTAACTCGATACAATGACTAAGTATTTAAATCATTACTTCTCTTACACGGTTTCAACAGAAGATAATCATTATAACCTTCGTTATAGTATGTTTAATTGCACGGTAAACTGCTGTATCAGAGTGCATTAGCTTTAACCAGTTGTACTAAACTGGCTTAAGCGAGAGTGTATTCATGCAACTTGCTATACATTTGCTGACTCCAGTCTTTAACAGTTTGGTTTTATATCTGGTTTGAATATCTGCAAATATCTGTACAGTTTCGATGAACATCGCTTGGTGAGAGTAAGAAAGCTTCATTCAAAACATGATGCAGCTTTAAATACAAACTTAATAAGTCAATTAAAACATTACAATATTATTTAAAAGGATGTAAAGTGTGGACTTGCGTCAAAAAGTATCAATTGATAATGAATATATTGATCTCTTTTGTTTCTTTTCTTGTTCTGTATAAGTTCATCTTGTTCATCTTTGTGCTCTGTGCTTTAGCGTATGCATCATTCTCAATCATAACAGCAGTAGTGGTACAAACATGCTCCTTGTTAATCGGATGTTCTAATACCTGTGTTGATCCCCCTCCCAGAGGTGTCTGCCTTCATCACGCTGTCCCCCCCCTCCCCCCTCATCGCCCCCTTCACACGGTTGCAGGATTGTTGGGGTTTTAGCTCTTTTCCTGACCTGCCAACATGCCAGCCGCACTTACAGATTCCAGTCAGATAATCTGTGAAGTCTGGGCGAGCAATGTGGAGGAGGAAATGAGGAAGATCCGACAAATTATTCAAAGCTACAATTTCATTGCCATGGTAAGAGACATTGTATTACCTTTATAGATCATGCAAAGTGCAGTAGTTACACGTTTTGTGTTGTTTTTCAGCATGAGAAATATTATCGTGTGGGATTTTTTTGTTCATGTCTTTATATTTCATTAGGACACAGAATTCCCTGGGGTTGTTGTCCGGCCGATCGGCGAGTTTCGCAGCACAGTAGACTACCAGTACCAGCTGCTGAGGTGCAACGTGGACCTCCTGAAGATCATCCAGCTGGGCCTCACGTTCATGAACGAGGATGGAGACTACCCGCCCGGCACCACGACGTGGCAGTTCAACTTCAAGTTCAACCTCACGTATGCGGACCGTCTTCTATCACTTTCTAATCTGATCTATGCTTACTTATGGTTGAGCTTGATGGTAGCACTCTCTAAACGGCTGTCTGTTGTTGTTGTTTTGCTCCTCGCAGAGAAGACATGTACTCACAGGACTCCATAGACTTACTCCAGAACTCCGGCCTCCAGTTTAAAAAACACGAAGAAGAAGGAATTGAAACACTCTACTTCGCTGAGCTCCTCATGACGTCCGGTCTGGTGCTGTGTGAAAACACCAAGTGGCTCTCCTTCCACAGGTCAGTTGGTCGCAGAGGACTGTTAATCCTACAGTTTCTTTAATGTGAAGGGACTTTTTATTTTTACACATATGTTCTTCAGTTTCTAGCAAGAAATCTATTTAGGCTTGGTTCAGAGAGGCATCGTTCTTGTCTTCATTGAAAAATAACAACACCTGTATCCTTGAAGATCCTCATTTTTACACCAAGGACCAGATGTCTCGTGGTTATTTCTGTTACTTAAAACAAAATGAGTTTTTCACACCACTTCATTTACACTAGAGCCAAAAATAAAATTGGATATTGCCGAATCTGGCAACATGAAGGAGATCATATTTTATTTCAGTCGTGGGGAGAAGATTCTCACGGCCCACGTTGTGTTTGTTTATTTATTATTAACAACAAGGCATGGCATTATTCTCAAAGAACTAAAGCTGTGCCACTATGGCCACATTTTGGATTTGAAACTAACGGAAGAGGTGAGCGGAAAAAAATAAGTGGAATTATGTTCCACTCAGGACCGGCTGCTGGGTCAACAAACGAGTGATAAAGTCCAGTATACTGTTCAGCGTTTGGCTTAGTATCAAACCGGTTTGAAAATCTTCACACTGGCCCAACCCTAACATCAGTTTGATCCGGTCCATCCTTAACACTGTACATCCTGTGTCCTGTGTTCCTCAGTGGCTATGACTTTGGCTATCTGGTGAAGCTCCTGACGGACACACGGCTCCCAGAGGAGGAACATGACTTCTTCCAGATCCTCAACCTCTTCTTCCCCGCAATCTACGACGTCAAGTACTTGATGAAGAGCTGCAAGAACCTAAAGGTATTCTACACTGAATACAGACATACAGGGGAGGGGGGGGGCGGGGCACCGAGTAGTTTTGTAGAATGAAACCATATCAGAGGCATGTAACCAGCTCAACAGTCTGAGACCATAGCTGAGGATGGGGCTCATGTTGTTTTATCCTCCACTTGTACATAGCAGACTAAATTCATCACATCATGTCAGAACGAGTCTTTAGCTGTCTCACTTATGTGTTTTTGGACTCGTGTGTTTGCAGGGAGGGCTACAGGAAGTAGCGGACCAGCTGGAGCTGAAGAGGATCGGGCGGCAGCATCAGGCTGGATCCGACTCGCTTCTCACCGGCATGGCTTTCTTCAGGATGAAAGAGGTACCGTCACACAAATATCCAGAGGTGGTGCTGTTGGTTTTTTATTGTTGTAGCTGATTTGTAGGATTTTCAGCCAATTTTTCTTTTAACTTTTTATTACCAGAAAACGTTTCACTGCCCTCTCTTCCCGGGGACTTTGTTTACTGTAAACTGTGCTGAAGGATGCCCTCTGGAAGTATTCATTAATAATGAATATCTTTACAGATATCAGGTGTCATTTGTTACTATGCCGTTTTTTTTTTTTCCCTTCCCGATCACAGTTCATTAGATCTTTCCTCTGGGCATTACTGGCCATCCTGTCACGCTAGAGATTCACTGCGTCTCACACAAAATAAGAGGGAGCGAGCTGCTTTGCTCGCTCGCTGCCTCCCGTGTGTTTTTACCCAAACTGTTAAATGTCCACCTTCTAACTTCCTGCTTTGAAAGCAAATACACCGAAGAAGTAAATATGTGGCGCTTGTAAATGTCCAACATGTAAGAATAGAATGTGTTAATTGATATCTGTTTTTTGTTTTATTCAGCTGTTCTTCGAAGACAACATTGATGACGCAAAGTATTGTGGGAGATTGTACGGCCTGGGCTCGGGCTCCACCCAGCCCCAGAACGGCATCTCCAGCTCAGGCCAGGAGGAGACCAACAACAAGCACTGACTGAGCGCTCGCGTCTTCAAGTGGAATACGCACTTGTTTTAAAACCCAACCAGCAGATTTCCCCTCTGATCTCCCTCAACACTCGAGCCCCGAACGAGACTAAACAAAATCTATTTCTTTAAATGTTCCTCCCGAGTGACTGTAGAATGGACTCTCAGTGACATAGGATCCCTCACTGGCTCAGTCGTTTTTTTTTAAAGGCGCTTTTACTGAGTATAAGGTCATATATCCAGAACACTTTTAAAAATGTTTGTTTTTCTTCTTTTCAGCAGCATTATAGTGACACCCTTCTTTAACAGCGTGGGACCAGCCCCTGTATCATACTGTGATTTCAGACCAAACTTTGCCAAAAAACAGTCCGATTCTTCAGTTCAGACTCCTCCTCCTCAGCGGGATTCGTCTCTTGTTGCAGGGAGTTCATTTTTTAAGTTAATGTTGGAAGGGCCTGTAAATTACAATGTATAATTTTGATGAAAATAAAAATGTTTTAGCTCTTTTCCACTTTCAGAAACTTTTAACAGCGGGCGTCAAAGTGTATAACTGTGCTTGGTTATATATGTGTTTCAATGGGCAAACTACTGTCGTTCTGTACATCCACCCACCAAACCAAACTGTCCACAGTCGGGTTTACAGATGTTGTGGTTACTGTTGTTTTTACATTCTACATTGTTTTAAACAGTTGTATATTAAATTGTTTTGTATTTTCAATGTAAACCTTAAGTATTTCATCTTTTTTACCAGCTACACACTGACACACAGCGGTAACAGTTCTGTTTGAAAGGGTTTATCTCAAGTCATTAGAAAGTCTCTTTATATTTTGTGTCGCAGCAGATGAGACTGAAGGTAAAATAACCACAATCATGTGTTCTCATGTGGAGCGTTGCCTGAAAAAATGCACGATAACAGGTGTTTGTCAAATGACATCTCTTCCTCCTCCAGGCCATGCAGCTCTGACAACGATCAGTTCTTTAGGCCTATCTGGAGGTAGACTCAAACATGAACATGTTTGAACAGCATTTTGTAATTGGTTATTTATTAAACAAATAGCTGTATAGCTTCTTTCAGTCTACTGATGAAAGCTTGAGTTGGGAGTCTGAGGACAGATGTATTTGTTTATTTTTGGCGTCTTGTTGGAGCGACTCAGAAACATGAAGATGACTAGCTGAGGTGCAGGAGAACCAGGCAGCATTCAACAAAGTCTGGGTGAGAATACATCTGAGAGAGAACATAGACGAACTTAACTTAGCATTGACAAGTAGGTGAAATCCGTAAGCAGGTTGTTTTTGGCAGCATGGGGAAAGCACTTTAACAAAGCTTTATCACATCAAACTGTCTTCAAACTTCAAATCCTTAATAGCGGGCCTGCCCTACTCTTTGTTTTGTGATAGAAGCACCAACATTGGGACATATAAAGCTTATATTAAAAAGAAATCTGTATTTTGGTCCATTGTAAGTATTCTGATGACCATGGCAGCCATTTTCTAAAATGGAGGTGATTGGTCGGGAAAGGGCACAGACTACGGTGGCTGGTTGAAACTCCCCTTTCAGGAGTGGGGTTCCCACGCCTCAAACCGATGTTCGACACTTTTCAAAGTTCTCCATTTGTTAGAAAATGTTGGATGTGCACAGACGGCCAAGAACTTGCGTACACTCGTGGCCCTCGCGAATGCAGCAAGCATACATCACGCCTAAGAACTTGCCACGAGTATCGTATAGAATGTCACGAAAAGGTCATCTAAAGTCATGTTATAAAAAAGCCATTGCAAGTCATGTCATTAAAAAAAAAGTCCTAACATAGTATGTCAACAAGTCACAGTCATGGTATTGTAGGTCATTAAAAAGACAAACATTTGTACATTATGTAATTTCATAAAATGGCATAGTACAGTAAGATATTAAATCAATCAAAAGTAATTTTATTTAATGTCTTAAAAAACATGTAAAGCAATCATCAGTGCATCATAAAAATGTCTTGTATGTCATGAAAAAGTCAGTAGAGCATACTCCAATAGCTCAGCTGTCTTATTTTGATATTAGTTGACCTTGTTCACTGTATATACCCACTTGTTTTGTCTTCATTCTACCATGTGCACACATCGCTTTCCAGCAATTCTAGTGTTCCTTTTTAATTGGTTTTACACTTTGCTTGCTCCCCGTTTTGCCCTTCTTGCTGTGTGGATTGGTTGACTCTAATTGGACTGATTATCAGTCTATGATCCGTTCATTTTTCAGTAAAGACATTTTTTGAACCGGCCATGTTGCCTGTGTGTGTGTGTGTGTGTTTTCTGTTAAATCCAGAACCATGGCAGTATAGTTGTTATAAAAATGCTATATTATCGTATGTAATAAAAAAGTCATAGTATAGGATGTCGAAAAAAGTATAATGTGTCAAAAATTGAATATTATAGCATGTTGAAAAAAGTAGCTTTGATCTCTTAGAGCTGCAGGGCACGCATACATTTGAGTGTCCTTCAGGCTTTTCTGGACTGTGGACTCAAACAAAATTAGGTTACAGCATTTGGTATTTAAAGATTTATTTATTCAACAAAAAGCTGTACAGTGGAAGTGCTTCTCTTAGTCTGCCGATGACAGATTCAGGTGAGGAATTGCTGGGAGGCTTTGAAGACCGAGGCATCGGTTCCGTATTTGCGGAGCAGATCTTTGGCCTTTTGTTGGAGCGACTCCGACACGGACGGAGAAGACTTACTGAGGTGCAGGAGGACCAGGCAGCATTCAACAACGTCTGGGTGAGGATACATCTGAGAGGACACAAATACCTTATTGTTCACGAGCAGTGAGGACGAGGTGAAATCTGTATGCATGTTTGTGGCACTTCTTTAACAAAGCTTTAACACTTCAAAAAAGAAAGTTAAATCCGTAGGGAGTTTATTGCAAGTACAAGTAAAACTCTTCCTAGATAATTTGAGTAATATTGTCTGATTTCTGTCCTCGTCATTCGAGGAACAAACAGGTGAGAATTTGTCATTCTCATCCTCAAATATCTGAGCGTGGCAAACAAGATATCAGATGTTGAAAAGTATGTGTGGGATCAAGTTTGTAAAAATATAATTTCAGTCAAAACTGACAATTTGCAGACAAGAATGCACTCTGAGGAGGTTGCCCCTCCTTCCTTCTCTAATCTCATCCTGTATGTGTTGCGTAGGGAGCTGTACCTTGATGGTGTCCGGCAGGTCAACCAGCCGTTTCTGGTGTTCTGACATCTTGGTGGACAAAGAGAGCAGAGTCTCCTGCTCCTCGGGGCTGAGGGACAGACAATAGACAATAGACAAGCTATTGAAGCTACCAAGCAGAATTTCGGGGGCGGGACCACATCCCAAACAAGCCACATTCTGCATTTCCAATGAATAGAGTTTTACTGTGGTTTTTGTACAGTATAACCATTTTTAAGTAGTTATTTTTCCTTTTCCTTTCTGCTACCGCTGGTAATGCAATATAGGTCTGCATAAGATCAACCGATTGTCTGCTGCATTAGCTTCCACCTTAAATGCACATCTGTTCTGTCATTAGTCATTCAGGTATTCATAGTTTCAAATCTGAAAAGTACAACGAATGAGTCGTCATCATCCCTCACCGTTGCCCAGCATCACCGGACCCCTGGCTCTCCGAGGGCTCTGCGGTGGTGGAGATCTGCGTGGGCGCGTCTGCCTCTTTCTCCCCAGAGTCGAGCTGCCCTCCCTGGGCTCTGCTGTGCTTCAGCACCATGGCCGCCAGCCGCTCCTGGATCTCGCTCACCGACCTCTGAGTGGCCTGACAGGCAGCGTGATGCTCAGACAGAAGCACGGACGCATCAAAGTCCAGTTTGTCACGACTCTGGGTCTCCGGGCTGACGCTTTCTTCTGTTGCATCTCCGTTCAGCGCTTTACCCTCCACCTCGTCCCCGGGACCGGAGTCAGCTGCTGGGGGGGGAAACCTGCTCTGGATCTGGATGGAGTTGCTCCACCAGTGTTCATACAGGTGGTGGTAATCGACAAAAGCCTGCAGACTCTTAGCAGCAGCTTCGGGTTCCTCTTCTGTGTGATGAAGCACTTTGGAGTGTTTCCTGGAACAAACACTGACGTCATCTGATAACAAAAAGAGCGAAAGAGAATTACAGACGGTTGTGCGACAGCTTACAGCTCACAAAACCAAATAAATGCATTATGGCTACATGATTATTTATATTATGAATTAATCCATTGATTGATCAAACAACTGCTTCATCTTAAAAATGCTAGAAATTAGCCATCACAAGTTCATACTACTTGTGGTACATTTGTGGTTACAAAAGAAATTATGGGATCTAAATTATGATCAGTCACCACAGGGTGTCGCTATATCAACCAGAACTGCTTTTCATTCAGATTGATACTGGAGGCCTTAAAGATTGTGCACTTAAATGCTGACATGCACATATATCTCTCTCTGAGAATAAAATGAAGAAGGATTTTGTGTTGCACCGAATCAGAACATGATGTTTGAGGAGACAGATGGACGTACTGTCAGGGAACAGCAGCCTGCAGAGCTCTGTGGAGACACCGAAGTGTCCGGCATCTCTGAGCCAGGCCACCGCCTGCCACAACTCCTTTATCAGCTGTCCATCATCGCCCAATAACCAGCTCAACACGGCACGGGTCAGATGGAGGGACGAGTACAGCTGCACCTGAGGACAAGTGAGACACGAGACCCAACAAAAACAGAAAGACAACAAGACTGAGTCAGATGAAAGGTTGGAATCACGAAGGTCAATTTATCCGACTTGCTTCCTCTCTAAACTCACTTGTAAAACGCTTCATGTAAATATTGAAATGAAAAGACGTGTGAAATCAATGACACAGTTTGGGGACCCCGCACCTGTCTGAGAGGAATGTTGGCGGTGGGTGTGGGACTCTCCGCAGACTTCAGCTCCTGCAGAAGAGCTCCGGCGCTGCGGTGTCCCGCGGAATCTCGTGAAACGCCAAACTGCTTCTCCCACGCGTCTCTCACTTGGTCCTGGATGCTGACGTGGTGACTGGAGGCGCGGGGCTGAGCAGCAGCTTCAGAGTCTGCCAGCATCGCCGTCATCAGCGCAGCGACGCAGAGGTGCAGCCTGTGAACCTGCAGAAGGTTGAGACAATTCTTCACTTCCATGATTTTCCCAAAGGCAAAATGTATTTTTAGATCCTATCTCAAAAGGTCAAGCCTTCTTATTTAATGTCTTTTTATAATTCCCAAGATTTATTTTGCTTGTTATGTTGTAGACTTAGAATTCAAACAGTGACGTTTACTTCAGTTAAAAAATAAAATGATTGGTGTTGCATTAAAGTTTTACTGACCAGCAGGCTCTCCTGTGAGCTCAGGACCTCCTGGGCTCCGATCCAGTCCTGAGCAGCAGCCAGGTCTTTAGCACACCTCAGCGCCAGCGACTGAGCCAGAGCGGCCTCTCCCGAGATCCTCGCTAGACCGGCCGCTGTCCTCAGCGAGGGGACGTCGTTCTTCCTGGCGATGACTTTAGCGGCGTCGAAACTGGCCCCAGCAGCCAGGTAACTGAAAGACACCGTGAACGGAAAAGGACAAGTTTAAACAATTCATATTAAATACCAATGTAAACGAGAGGGAACGGCACGAGGAGGCAACGATACCAGAGATTTCCAGTTCTCACCATTTAGCGGCTGCGGAGAAATGTCCGTCCTTCTCCAGCGTGGCGGCCCAGCAGGTGTACAGCTCCTTCAGGACGGGCTCGTCTGCTGGCAGCCTGGCTTTGACCAGAGCTATGGCCTCCCTGACATTCAGCACACACACAGACAGATCTCTTCTGTTAGCATACAAACAAACATCAGCTGGAGAAGGCACTGGAAACAAGAGACATGTCGAGATCAGCATTACAGTTCAAAATGAAAAGAATGAAAGCCTGCAAAGCTGAAATAGACGAGTACTTTCATTTTCCTTTTTGTAGCTCAACAAAGCAGACAAACTTTGCGTACCACTCTGCAAGTATATGACCAAAAGAATATTACAAAAAGAAGCAAATAGTCACTTATTGTTATTAAAAACTAAAAGATGAACCTGTAGAGCTTGTGAGAGCGCAGCAGGTCGACGGCCTCGTACAGCTTGTTGATGGACAGCAGGTGGGACGCTGCCTTCAGGTACTGCTCCTGCAGACACAGCTGCTTGACGAAGGCCTCCACGGTCCGGCTCCACACCCCGAACCCGGCTGGAGGAGGAACAAGAATTGTTACAAGATCCTGAAGCCTCCGAATGTTGTATTCCACCAGCTTTGAACATTAAATGCAATGTCACGTTATCGTCGTACGACTACTGATTCTATGTGTAATTTATCAGGCTTGCACAGCCAAGTTTCCTCTGTTTGACAACCTACCTGAATCCTGACTGTTTGTTAGATTTAGGTTTCTCTGTGTAACCAGCCTCTGGTGCACATCTGAGGCGCTTTTCTTAAATAACACGTAAGCTTATTAAGATGAATGTCAAATGAATTTAACACGAGCCTGTACCCATGGGGGCGATGGACAGCAGGTGGTCACTCAGCTCTCCTTTCTCTGTGGCGAGCTGCAGCGCCCCCTCCAGGTCTCCGCTCCACAGCCGCAGGTACACCACCGAGTCGTGGTGCCCCGCCTCCACGTGGCCCTCCTCTGGAGAACAAGAGACAGACGACTTCACCGACACGACATCGGACATCTTCACCCCATTTAAGCCTTCTTCTAATACTCCAATTCCTGACATGAACACTGATTTAGTGGCTGAATGAGCCACCGTGAGCATGCTCAAAGTATCTAAAAGGTGTCTGTTACTTTGAAACTATAAATGGGCAGATTAACATAGTAAGGAAAATAAATCCCTGAAGGACATGTTTTATTAAACTGCTCTGTGATTTTAAAGAGTGGACATACATCACATTCTTAAAGGCTGAATAAAACAACATACCTTCTGCCTCAAACATGCGATACAGAGCCTGTCTGTCAGAGAAGAGGCCCAGATGGATGTGGTCTCCTTGGCCTGGGACGCACCCTGCAGGGGGAGCTGGGAACCACACGCACAGTCCAGTTAATACATGTCTAAACCATCTGTGTCCCTGTACTAGAATCACTGTGAGAACCAATAAAACTGAAGCACGCATCTCCATAGCAGGCGGAGTTTTACCACTGCTGTGTCTGACGGAGGCCAGAGTGATGCAGTCCTGCAGCAGATCCTCTTTGGGCCGATGGTCCATGGAGGTGCTGAGGGGCAGCATGGAGCGAGGCTTCTTCTTCTTCAGCAAGTTTAGGTCTGGAGACACACACAGAGGCACCCTTACAGTTACATGCATACACCCAATGTAAAGAAATACATTCAGCTGAAGCACGTACCTGGTTTGTCTTTGCTTTTTACGGCAGTGAAAGGTTTCCTCTGCATCTCAAAAGTGACTGAAACTTAATTTCAGAATTACGTTAGCTATACACTTAACAATCTTGTGTTTTTTTCTTTTCCAATCCGTAACAGCTACCCTCTTACCTGATGGAGGTACAGGACTGTTCGTTGAGCTGACCTCATCTTCCTCATCTTCACCAGACAGCTCTTGCCCCGTCGCCACCTTCTCTCCTCCGGCGACTGGCTCTCCATTTGTCTCTGGCAGCGCGGCTCCTCCGGCCCCCGGCACCTTCTTGTTCTTCCTCTTCTGCTTGGGATTGGTCTTCATCTTCTCCCTCAGGTCGACCATCTTTTTCCCTGAGAGGAGAAGCGTGTGAACGTTACAGTCCGCTGGTTACACCAACAGGCAGAAGGAGAACTTGTGTTGAGGGTTGGGGGTTCTGGGTGTTTTCAAGACAGGCATTTACCTTTGGGTGGCTTTGTAAACTCTTGTTTGGAGACTTTCCACTCCTGCAGGGTGAAGTCCTTCCCTCCGGTCCAGATCACATCCGGATCGTCGGGCGACCAGTCCACGCACAGCAGATACCCAAGATGACCCCGGTAGTTGGAGACAGCCGCCTCCTGCAGCACGTCCCACACCTGAACAGTAAAAAATTCAGAATCAAGATGCTGGTGCATCTGACAGGAACATTATCATGGTCGTCCACCCATGATGCTGGCCTGGTACTGACCTGAGCTGTGCCATCGTACGAGACGGTGACCAGCCGGGCTTCGTGATGTGGACTCCAGGCCATGCCGGTGATTTTAGATGTATGACCGCACAGCCTGCGATACGGCTCCATCAACACCACGGGGCTTTCTGGAGGATTCTCTGTGCCCGGGGGAAACACAAATCTCAACACCTACCGAGCTTTTGTAATGCTGCATATCGAAGATGTGAGTCTACTCCTCGGGTTCACGGAAAAAATGCAAGCTCTCAACAAATAGTGCGGACTGGATAATACAATGCGTTTGAGGTCCCCCCCCCCCCACCTATGATGGAGCGGAGATCGTGCACGTAGACGGTCGCGTTGCTGGAGCCCGATGCCAGGAGGCAGTGCAGCTCTGGCGGGGAGTCGTGGTCGTGATGCCACCGCAAGGTGTTGATGATCTTGTGGTGCTGCTGGACGCTGCACAGCAGCTTCAGACTGGGAGCCTCATACACTTCAATGCACCTGCAGCCGCGATCATGTGGTCAGACAAAAGATGAAACGGGGATCACAAAAACGTCACGAGGATGGAAATCATCTCGTGGAGAGCTGCGTCTTTTAGGTTTTACTGTGAATGAGTCTGGTTCAGGATGTTTAAGTGTTGTGATGAGTCCTCGTGACATTCAATCATAAACTCAGAATGTGACCTAGTTAGCAGAGTACAATCTTTCACACAGAAACAACTCCATTGTCCTGTAGCCTAAAGACTACAGACTAGACAGTTGGTCCCTCACAGGACTCCACAGGCTGGTGGTCTATGATGACGCGGGTCAGGCCCGTTCCGTCACTCACCCGTCCTCATTGCCGATGGCGACCACTTTCCCATCTGGCTTCCAGCTGAAGTCGGTGTGTGGAGACAGCTTGTGCTGTTGGGAAGCAGAGCTCACCTTCATAACCTATTCAAATCACCTCCATTTACATTCAGCAGAAAAAACATGAAACTGTCGCAGTCGGGAGCGCCGGCCACGAGATCGGCTCCATTAAAGCTTTGACAGGTCTGTGAACTTCTCATGGGACTTTTACTTAGTTTCTTCCCCACCTAGAGGATGTGTGTATCAGGTGCTATTGTGGCTAACAGGTGGTTCACTAAAGGGGTTCTGAAGTCTGTGCGTGGATGTAAGAAGACACAAAGAAGATAAATGTGAAAGGTCCTCAATTAAAAGATAACAGGAACACCAATTCAATTCTCTTAATATGCATACACTTATTGTTTTACTGCTTATCCTAAGAGCTCAGTGCTGGGTGTCACAACTGACTGCTGCCATCTTGTTTATCCTTAACATTTTTAAAAGCTACTTGTATCCATTTGAAAATAGATTGGTCCCTTGTGTGCACATCCAGTGGTTTGCTTTCTGATGACATCTCAAGAGAACCGCTGCAGGATTTAGAACAAACCTAAAACGATCATTTTCCCTGCATGGACCCAAACAGCTCGGCCGACTTTGCTGTTGCATGAAGTTATTTAATGAGAGCATCTAACACTATGCTGTGTCGTTCAATGAGCAGATCATTGCACTAACCCGCATTGAAAAAGCATGAAGTTAACCACTGATGTGGTGACCATGTCAGAGAATGACATGGTCACCACATCAACACCCCTCCCACCTTGATGTTGTTGGTGTCTCGGATCAGTTTGTCGATGTCCGAGGCCTCTCCGCTCAGCTTGGACGGATCGTGCTGCAGGATGATGCCTTCGCCGGCGCAGCTGTACAGGCTGAGGGACGGCTTTCCACCTGCTGCCCCTGAACATCCCGCACAGAAAACAAACACACAGCTATTGATATGAACCGTTTAACACCTACGCACCCTTCAATGTAGTCCAGACGTGATCCTGTACAAGTTGAAAATATACTCTGGGCACCCCGCTGAAAAATATGCTACAAGTAGCACTCAGTGTGCAGAGAATGTGAAGGTAAAAAACAATAAGTGACATATACAGAGACGAAGCAGCTGGAGCTAATTTTCCTCTGCACACCTATTGTAAGTCACCCCGACGAGCTGAGCCAATGAGATCACAGAACTCCACCAGAAACATGTAGTGATCTGAGCCGGTGTCAAGTTAAAGAAATAAGTGGCTTCTTTTGTTCGTTTTGGGAGCTTTCAGCAGATTGTTGGCACGGCAACAATTGTGTTTACGGCTTGGAAGCCGAGCGACTGATGTGGTAATCAAAATGTCATCTGCCGACAGCTGGTGAAATTAACTTCCCAGGTCTAGATTCCCCCACGAGCGACCGAAGAGGGAGGGAGGTGAGCAGTAAGTGTTATCTCAGCTCATTCAATTACAGAGTCAATTACATAAAGGGCGTGCGGAGATGTTGGGGCTTTTTCGCTGACTCTGCGTTTTTTTTCCGGCGTCCCACCGCCAACGTTTTTGCTGGGTCGGGGCGTTTGGAGAAAACAGCAGCAGTTGCTAAGAGTTCATTAGGAACTTACCAAACGACATCGGGGGGACTGCGGGTCCCCAGGCCAGTGTGTACACCGTTTTCCTGTGATAGGAGCTCGATATCTGAGGAGGCCTGGGAGGAGATGAAGCAGAACAAACGCCCAGTCAGGAATGCATGACATAGATAGCTGCAGGACAATGGCACTCGGGGGAATCACGTCGTCATGTGAAAAATCCACCAGGTCCCGAGCAAAAAGAAAAACAAGCAATAATCTGACTTCATGGCAGTTAAAGATCATTCACATAATGATTTTTAGAAGGCGCCCTTTGGGTTTTTACTGTAGAAGAAACAAAAGTTATGTTTATTTTCACGAAGCAGATTTCTGAGTATATTAAACAATGCATTCTTTATATCTATGTTTGTATGCTACCGGTCTTCTTTACTGCCTCTGTAGGCACTTTGGCCAGCTGGGTAAAAACGTTAACGTATTAAACTGGAGTGAAGTTGTATGTGTGGACTGCTGTGAGAAAGTGTTGGAGACTCACACATTGTGTTGTTTATGTTTTCTTCTTTTGAAATACCGCTCCTGTTAAGCACTCTGTGACTTTTGTCTGTGAAAAGCACTTTATAAATACATTATACTTCCTTCAAACCAAAAGGAAAATTTAAATAATGACTTCACCTGTTTGAGAAGACTTCGAAGATTCCAACCTTGCCATCGTCTGTTCCAAAAGACAAGGATCCTTCTTTTGTCGGGTGCCACGCCAGCTGCAGCAAAATAACAAGTTTATAGATAACCTTAATCTTAGATGTGTCATTTCTGAAATTAGGTAAAAAAAGAAAATTTTTACAAGGAAAATGAAACGAAGCCAAAACATCTTACCGCCGTGACCTTGGACTTGATGCCCTGCCAGAAGCACCTGGTGTCGTACTGGTTTTGGGTGGTCAGTGTGTTCCACACCCGGATCATGCTGTCACCGACGCCCAGCGCCAGACACCCTGCACCCACGGGGGAGAAGGTCAGGGCGTAGACAAAGCCGCCCAGGGTGGGCAGAGTCCAGCAGCAGTCCAGAGAGGCCAGGTCCCAGCATTTAATCTGGAACACAAATTAAAGTCAGATGCTACAGTCCTCCGGTAAGTCAAAGGCCTTTTTGGAAACAATAAGAGAGTGGTAAACTTTGCATTAAGCTCATTATTAAATAGAAGGTGACCCACCTCTCTGTCCATGGAGGTGCTGATGAGCAGCTCTCTGTCGTCCTGCAGGCGGACTGAACTCATGTTGAAGATGATCCTGTTGTGGTTCTGTCCCTCTGAAGACGTCCCAAACAGAGTCCACCTCTGCTTCCCTGTCCTGGTCAAGTCCCACATCACCAACTCACCACTGAGAACACAAGCACACACACACACACACGAAAGTCATTAAGGGTTTATAGAGGCAAAACTACTGGTCACGTGTATGTTTTAAAACAAACGCTGCTGAAGATACTACAGACGGACTACTGAGCTCTGCTGTTGTCATGTTTCATCAGGCTCCCTCTGATGTTTCCATTGATAACACACGTGTGTGTGTGTGTGTGTGTGTGTGTGTGTGTGTGTGTGTGTGTGTGTGTGTGTGTGGGTGTACCCGAAGCAGCTGGACACAAGTTGTGTTGGTCGTCCCTTCGGCCAGTGGACGTGGAGCCAGAGTCTCTCTTTGACACCGGGGTCGACTGCAGAGCCTCTTTTCTTCAGATACGGCAGCTTCAGAGTCATCACACCTGCAGGGGGCAGAAGATGAGAGGATTCAGAGAGGATACAGAGAGGATCAGCGATTTCACTCGCTCTTAAAAAGGGCACCAGCGGTGGCATTTTAGTTAGATTTGAGCTGCTTGTCTTAAATTTTTATTGGAGAAATAAAGCAAACATTCAGCTTTAGTTTGACACTAAAATAATACACTCAGAATTACTTTTCTCTTTGTTTTCCTGAACATTGACAGGATGAAAATGAATTAACATTTTTCTTTTTCTTTATTGATGACCCACAGATACCTTGTGAAGGCTTTTTCACTTTGCCACGAATAGTCATCAGGATGTATTAATAAATGAGTACAAAATCCGGGCCATTTGCAGCTCAAACCTCCTCGGAATCTCTTACTTTTTCCCTTCGCTGAGCTCCAGATCCTCATCGTCTGGTCTTTGCTCCCAGACGCAAGATAGCAGCCCTTCTCGTCTCCTGCCGACCCTCCACTGGTTGCTGTATGATGGAAAAAATGCATGACAAAATTGAGTTACCTTTTTTTCCCCATTCAAAATGTATTTATTTTTGCAGAACTAACATTAAAAAGAGGAAAGAGGAAATAGGACTGGTGTTTTTTTTAATGACTGCACACCGCTACCTTCCATGTCCTCAGGTCTGCTGAAAAGGGCATCCTCGCTGGCCATCGGCGACCACGCCAGCGAGTGGATCTCATCTTCATGTCCACGGAGACGGTGCATCACCTCGCCTTTCTTACTCACATCAATCAGCACGATCATCCCATCTTTGTACCTTCGACAGACCGATGACAGCACCGTCACAATCACCGACACTTATATTCTATTTTTGCAGCTAAACGGTTGAATTCGACTAAACTTTAGACATGTTTTCTACTTTCACCACATGCGACCACTGAGAATGCCTTCACAGGTCAGATTTGAAATATACTAGAAGGCCCCTTTAAAAACAAACGTAAATGTTATGGATTCGAGGACTTCCTTATTATTAGTTAGTATTATTATTATTATTATTTGATATTAAGTAGAAGGGGTTCACAATTTCCCAATCACAGATGATTTATGTGAAAATTAAGAATATCTCAAATCAAATTGAATCCCTGGTATTTATAAAACACAACACATTTAAGACTTAAAAACTTGACAAAATTAATAATAATAAATAAATAAAAATTTAGGTATCATAACCAAACTAAGCCCCATTGAAACATGTCTTGATTTTGTTTCAGATTATAATTTCTGGACTTTGTTTAAAGAAAACAAATGATAGAGTGGTGATCCCGCAGAGTGGACTGTGCTCTTCTTACCCCACAGCCACAGAGCTCCAGGTGTGAGGGGAGCAGGTGAGGCAGAAGATGGTCCTGGGCTCTGGGAAGAAGCTGGCGGTGTCTCCTGTGTTGTACCAGTGACAGACCACAATGCCCTTCTCGTCCCCTGACACCACCAGGTTTTTGTCCACCGGCGACCAGTGCACCGCTGCGACCGGGCTCTGTGTGTGTGGAAAACAACAACTGGGGTGACATCCTGTTGAAACGATATGGCAAATGTACTTTACTAATCAGGCTCCGCCCGGTACAGTTTCTTATGGTGGTCAGACTGCTGTTTCCAAGGTTGTTCTAACTTAAGCGAGGATTAACTGGAAGGAAACAGACTTTGTTCATTGAAATTGTAACATTTACAAACACTTTATTATTCTCCTGAACACCTGATTAGTAATTTAGCCTCTTGCCTTTCTGAATGCATTTACAGTAATCAGTTTTACGGTTGGGCTTGTTTATGAATAGATATTCAGAGCTATTGAGGCACTGAATCTGTTCTCATAGATGGACGCATAACCGTCCTGTCCGTCTGTGGCTTTCACTGTTCAGATCAAGCCAGACGACAGAGAAATTATCCCTTGAAGGCATAATTTGAAGCAAATAATGGAAACCAAATAAGCAATGCCCTTTCTAACCTCGACAACAGCTATAAAAATGCCGCCGAGAGAGACTGAGCTGCTGTAGAGGAGCAGCTAGAAATCGGTGCCGTCTGTCTCCCTCCACATCCTGTCGAGCTCAGACGGTTAGCTTTCTCTCTCCAGACCGGGTCAGCAGCCCACTCTCGCCACGACAGCACAAAACATGTGAAAGCACATTTGTGTGACAGCACAGGTGACAGGCTCCTCTATCTGAATCATCACCTCTAAAAGAACCTGAAGAGAAAGACTGCTTCAGCTTCAGAACCGAGAAAGCAAGCCTCCTGGTTACCTCTGCTGCTGCAGAGCTGACTGCGGCCTGCAGGGGGCGCCGGCATGTCGTGAAAACGCACCGTTTCTTGTTGCAATGACACAACAGAACAGGACAGTCGACTCTCACCTGATGAGCTGCATGCTCCCTTATTAAAGCCTTGCTGTCCGAGTCCCAGAAGCGAACGGCCCCGTCACTGGAGGAGCTGACGCAGATGTGACTCTGTCCTGCATGCTGACAGAATGAAAAGCCAGACACCAAGTCTTTATGGCCGACAAGCTCACCTGAAAAACACAGGGATGTCAGCGTCTTATGGTGAAGGTAGAATATGATGGATTAGAAAAGGGGCCACAATACACCAAAAATAAAGATTGAATCACAAGAAAGAGATTAGAATCTCAAATCACACAGGCAAACTGAAGACATGTAGCTTAAGACATTTTTCAATAAAGTAGCACTGATATTTCATATGAAATAAAAGTAGAAGGTCCTCTGTGGCTCTGGACAAGCTTCCCAAAGTCTGAGAAAATAACCCTGATGATCTCATTGTGACGTCATCACCGTTAGCTGGGTTTGGGACTTCAAATATAAAACATGCATTAAAAAGTGGAGGTGTGTGGAGTCTCGTGAAAGATGCTGTTGAGTTGCATTGTGGGAATTATAGGATCCAGTCTTTTTTATTTGTTTGTACTGAAAGTCAAGATGAACTTGTCTTGAACTAGAACTTTACTGCTTTGATTTTGGCAAATCTTTTTTTATTGTTTTAATCTGTCTCTTGCAGGTCCCCAGACTTTGTTTAAGTGCAATAATGCATCACGAGAGAACCCCTTTAATTGATGAGCTATGTATTCTAAAAACAGTGAACAATGCCCATCACAATGTTCCAGTGTCCAAGAGGACGTCTTTAAGTTGCTTATTTTGTCTGACCAGCAGCTCAAAAAGATCTGTTAGTCGAACTTAAGTATATCTGTTAAGCCAAATATCTAATCGGCTTTTCTATGATTGACTGACTTATTAATCACCCAATAATGTCAGCACTAGACTGTGCATGTTGCCAATCCAGCCAGGTGATCAGAGGTCCGTTTCCCTTCCATTACTCGACCCCACGAGCTGAAATCAACACACTTGAGGTGATCTGATCACCTGCAAGTTAACGTTTAGCCTTATAGAGGCTGGAGGATAAGTACCAGAGTGACCGTGTCTGTGTGTATGTGATGTACAGCACCAGCAGTCTCACCTGTAACCCTGCAGGAAGATGCAGATACGTCAATCAAAAAGATGACGTTTTTGGCTCCGACGCCCAACAAACCGCTGCTGTTGACGTCGCTGCTGCGGGAGCAGTACCAGTTGGGGGAGGCGGGGAGCGACCTTTCGTGCATGGCGGCTCGGGTCGTTTAACGTTCACTAATTCTCTAATAAAGTCTGATAAAGCCAAACCAAACTTCTCACATGTTAGCTGCACTATCGTATCAACTACATTACCGGCCGTACGGACAGCGTGGTGTCGTAAATCCTGCAAGTGCCGGGTACGGAATCCTAGTTGGGACAAACCATGTCAAGTTTGCTGTTTTAAAGATACGGTGTAGGGTTTAAACCACGATTACAGCTTTTTCACTACCGCCTTCACACATTACGATTAAGACAACTTCAATCTTTAGCCAAACTTTATAGCTTATATTCACCATAGACGACATATGGCAAAACTGATTTCGCTGTTGAGGCTGTAAACATTACTACCGTCAAGCGGACACTGTAGTGTCGTAAAAATGCAAGATGGCGACTGCAATGACAGGACGTGGTAAGAGAAATGCAGCCTAATTTGTTCACAAATGTACCATGTTATGACATGTTTTGTGTCTGCTGGCGATGTCTTAACGGGTTTGTACTTGTTTTCAGGTATGGCTTTTATTAGGAATTTATCCGGGGTGTTGCATTCAAGGTAAGTACATCGATAGCGACCCTCAGAGGGCAGATCTTAGCAGGTTGAGATTGGATACATATGATTGTACATATATGCAATTAAATGTTTCCCTCCCCCCCTTTTCCCGGATGTCTCTCCAGGTTACAGGTTCTAGGTCCTCAGCAGCTCTCATGTCTCCACACCAGCACTTCACTGGAATCAAAGAACTGGGAGAGGAGCAACCGGAAGATGTATCCGCCTCAGCAACCAGATGATGATCGCAGACCAGCAGTAAGTCTTTCCGTCTGCTTGTAGTATGAAGTGCAGAGTGAGAGGATGACCCGGGCAGGTGTCACCTGCAGGAAACCGAGTGGATGAAAGTTACAGAGTACTTCAGAGTTTCTTCGGATTGTTAATCACAAAGTTATGGTCCTATGTATTTGCAAAGTGTAGATATATATGTTTGAGTATGTTGTGCAATGATTTCCATATCCCTCAAGCTGTGCATAAGTTGTCTCTTGTCTCTACAAGTATCTGAATACTTGTGGTGGTTTCCTTCTTCAGGAGATCCACCACAGCAGGAGGCAGATCAAGTACAGCAAAGACAAGATGTGGTACCTGGCCAAAATGGTGAGACCCACAGCGGAGAATTACCTCATCGATGTCGTATCTTCAAGTAAAGTCAAGTACATCATATCTCCACTTTGTTTGCCACAGACCTTAATTTCTGCAATAATCCAAAACTCAATGGATCAATCCCATTGGCTTGTCATGTGAGCTAGTGCTTCCCTGCAGTACTCTATTGTGTGGCCCGTTGGTCCAGAATTTCCCACTTTTCATTATTAGAAACAACAGAAAAGTCATACGTCTCTATACAAACCCTTTAGTCCTCATGAGTTTTAATTTGATCTTATGTAAACATGGTGCTAAAAACACAGCATACAGGCCTAACGGCTGTGGAACAAACGGTGAAGTTATTTTTTCGTCTCACCGTTGGTTCTCCTTCACAGATCCGAGGGATGAGCATCGACGAGGCCATTGCACAGCTGGCGTTCAACGACAAGAAAGGAGCAAAGATCATGAAAGAGGTTAGTAGCTGCATGTTCACCTTTCATCATTGTGTGTTTAATGTAATTAGACAGCACAGTCACAGATACTACTTCATTAAATTCCTGTATGATTACAATGTTTCCAATTTCACTGCTCATATTTTGTTATTTATTGAGTTGTTGTATGTGTTCATGCATTATGTTGACAGTGTCCCCCATCACACCTGTGCACCAGAAGTGTATTTGTAGATGTCACAGCTCTTTGTTTGTTCAGGTTCTTGAGGAAGCTCAAGAGATGGCGGTCAAAAATCACAACGTAGAGTACAAATCCAACCTGTATGTAGGTAAGTGTCTACAGCACTGATGGGATACACTCCTGCACATTATTAACAAAGCAGAACCTCCGGTAGCTCGATGGCTTAAAATTACAAACAAGTGGAGTCCGCTGTGTAAATGTCGGCTTTGCGGTTGTTCATCAACATTGTGTGGCTAGTGTGAGAGGCGACAAAAACTGAACCTTTGTTGGTGAAGGGAAAACAGTTTGGTATCAAAGCTATATTATTTAAGGATACAGGATTCATTCACATATTTAGACATACATTTTTACTTCTAATAAACATTTCAGTGTATTTATTTGTTACATTATGTTTTACAAAGTGAGTAAAGCAATGTTTAAGTCGAGCCTAATGTTGCACATAATTACAAATAAAAGAATGATCCCAGTCACTCCCACACAGTGAGGCATACGACTAATGAGTGAAACACTGGTATCGGATCGCTACCCGGTATCGGCCGAAGCCCAGATATCTGTAATGGTGTCGGGACTGAAAAAGTGGGATCAGTGCATCTCTAGTTCAGAACGGGGGAAATGACCTTCAGTAGGACGGTAAGCAGGTAGTGAATTAAAAAAGCAGTAGATTACTTTTGAGTTCAGACGGTGTGCAGAGTGGGTAATTTATGTTATCACAGATAAGCCGGAACTCTTTTGTTATTTTGACTAGTTTTCATTCAAAGGCACCTCTACAAATTCAATGAGTATTCTGTATCTTATCTCTCTCTCCGTTTATCTCATCCCCTCTTTAATAACCCCCCCCCTCCTGCAGCTGAGTCCTACTCCGGTAAAGGGAAGTACCTGAGGCGGATCCGTTACCACGGCAGGGGGATGTTTGGCATCATGGACAGAGTTAACTGTCACTACTTTGTGAAGCTGGTGGAGGGCTCGCCGCCCAAAACCGAGGAGAAGACGAGCTTTGACCAGGCCAAAGAGTATGTCCAGAGCCTCAAGAACCGAACAATCATCCACAGCCTGTAGACCACCTGATCCTATTTAACATCTTTTACTGTGTGTGTCTTTCATTTGACATTTGTAAATAAACAAATTAAAGAATGGGTTCTGAGACCTTATAGCATTACTTATTTTCATTGTCTTAAGTGTTATTTTGAAATACTACTGACTGCAGCCAGTCATGCAGTTTTAAATACAGTGATGACAACTTCAGACAGAGATCATAAAGCACACCAATATTTAGGAATGGGCAGATACTGTATTTGTCACTTTCTACATAGGTAATCACAGTTTATCTGACATATGATAAATGTATGCCTCATAAAGTAACAGTTGGCATCAATCAAATCTACATGTGCTCGGTGCAATAGTTGGAAGATCGCAATATTTAGGTACACTATAAGCCCTGTGATGTCCTTAGCTACATCTTGTCCTATCGGGCTAATAAATGTTTATTGAATTAAATATTTTTTTTTTACTGCATACTGAGATAAATGTTAGTTCTGTAAATATCTACACATTAGCCACCTCAGTCACAAATGTAACATTTACCAAATGAATGATTGTTTATTTCAAAGGGTTACTAATGTCACATGATTTTGATATTTTCACGTTTGGGAGAAGTGTAAGCGTGTGTATGACATGCTGTCGCAGCTTCGTCGTGATGCGTCTGCTAGTTGTGTTAGGGTGACAGCAGTCACCATCACTCCTCCCAGCCGGGAGTGCAAACCTGTCAGCTCCACTGTTCTTCACCCCCACACTTCCACCACTTTATTGCGAGCCTCCAGACATCTTTGGAGTTGCCTCGGTGTCTTTAGAAAAACAGGAAATGATAAGCTGGAAGTGACTGGCTTCGCTAGGAGGCTGCAGTCCGGAGAAAATGGGAAGGATTTGATGTTTTAAAAATATGATTTCATGCCTAACAGCAGGCTTCTTTAAAAACACACTTTTAAATGTGAAATAAGGTACAACAATAATTTTGTTAATGTGCACAGAAGCCTTTAATTTGAAGGGACTGACATGTAAATTGGTTATTTGTTTAGCATTTTTTTGTGTTTTTGGTTGTCTTTCTTATCTAACACTCCTGCAGGATGTCATTATGTTTACCTGGTGTCTTTCATGTCCTCATCTATTTATTATTTGCATTCTCTTTTGAATTTCACGACATTGTTGTCTGCTATTCTGCTAATAAATTGAATTTAGAAGCAAAACATCCTTAGAAGAACAAACTGGGGAGGAGATATAAGAGAAAAGGCATTCTTTGGGAATTTGTATTTTCTAAAGGTCACAGTGTCTGTGTTGTCGAGGCCCAGAGCTTTGGTCTCTGCTGTTTCTAATTGGCCTTTAGTTTCCTGTTGGTGATGTGAGTGATTCAGCTCGTGTCTGCCTGTCACCGCGTCCCTCCAAAGCTCTCGTCAGCTCTGAGCAGCTTTGAGTGTATTTTCAAATAAAATGCCATCTGCTGGCCCCAATTTCAGCAGACAGGTGCCCTCAATCTCAGGTTGGAGGCCGGCTCGGTCCCTCAGCACAAAGCAGCATGGACTTCTGAAAAGACCAAAAGGTTTTCATCTTCTTCCTGTTTTCTTTGTCCTTTCTCTCCCCTACTCTTTCACTGCCTGACTGTTTCTCTTTACTCCTAACCTTCCTCCGCCTCTCTGAGCGCAAACACAAACATGCAAAAAAAGATGGGATGGGGTCTCTAATGCAAGCGTTGCCTTAAGGCTTTATTACTGCAGAAGGTATTAAGAAACTTGCAATGAATTGAATTATCACAACCTACTATAAGGTAAGCCTGGAGCCTTTGGGCCCCCAAAGGGTTTGGGGCCCCATGGCAGTTGTCAGCTGTACCCAGCTGGAAATCCAGCCTTGGATAAAGTTAAGTTTTATTCTTTACAAACTAAGACATTAACTTATTTTGATCCTTTAATTGTTTGATTTCACTTTCTAATAAGACATAAGGTCTGCAGATGTAAATCTTGTGATGACCCCTCCCCTCCATGAGGTGTCTTGCAAGATCTGGGTACTTGCAAGACAATCCAGATCCGGGAAAAACAGTTTTTTTTGTTTAAAATATCTTTCTTTATACGCATTGTTCTTTTACAAATGAATCAGGAACGGCCTATTCTGCTGTAACTCTATGGCGCCGATAGTATTCGCTGCTTTTACAGGAACTATTGAGAGGCCATGATCTGCCATCGCGGTAACAAATGGTCCATTGGTGTGAACGGAGATGACGTGACTGTAAGCTCTGGTAAAGTCCAAGCACAGAGTTCGACGGCTCTGTTGAGGTGGAGTTAAAACTTCCACAAAAGTCCATGGATGATCGGTTAGCATCCCTTTACATACACAGAGACTAGGGATGACTGAATGGATCCATGAAGTCAGTAAACTGAGCAACGATGCATTCAGGAGCATTGTAAAATTAACAACAGAATACTGCTTTTACTTTTGTTTTCCACAAACCACTTTCCTTCTCCCAACCACACACACACACACACACACACACACACACACACACACACACACACAGATACAACTTGTGTAATATCACAAAATGAGTTGGCATTGTACAGATGACTGCCTCTGCCCGGCGGCTACGAATGCACAGATTCAGACTTAGACTGAAGAGAAAAAAGTTTGGCAAAGCTTCGTCCAATAAACCTGAGAGGCTTGTTGTCCTTCTGGGCTTTCTGCCAGAGAGGAACATGTTTCTGTGAATCGTGCTGGTGAAGCAGCAATGCTGCTGATTAATGGATGTGTGAACATTGTGCCGTGTGTGTCTGTGGGCATACGAGGGGAAGAGCAATCCCTAGAGAGAATGTAAAAGTTTATTGCTCAGCTTGCCAATACATTATTGGTGACTTTTTCATGAAACCACCTTGGTGAATTGCACAACTCAAGTAAGTTTTAAGACTACTTAAAGATTTTTACACTTCATATAAAGCATGGGAAATCAATGGATGCCTGGAATGGTTGGAAAAACACATCCAAAAACCAAAAACTGCACAGACTCCATTTGCGAATAGAATAAATGTAGTCAAGGAGTACAAACTTGCAATCACACTGGTGATCATGAAAACAACATAGGATTATATAAATCAACAGCATCATGGCATTTGAAGAAGATAATAACACAATGCTTTACTCGCGTTAAAGGAGAAATATACGACATTCAGAGCATTAATATAGCAGTAAACAACTATTTTTCTATATAAAGATTAATGTCTACCTTAACAGAGGATGAAGTCGCTTTCCCTCTGTGTTTTCACTATTTGACTCTTTGTGTTTTTTTTGGGACAAAATACCAACTCAAGGTTCATTTACTAGGTTTTTTTCCAGGGCTTTCAACCATATCACATGGTCTTCATCAGAAGATTGAGTTTGCTCAGTTGTCTTTTGTGTGTCACACCCCTCTCATCTGCCATGTCTCTCATCGGCTGACCAATACAAACTCATTATTCCTTATGTAATAACCACATACTTGCACGCAAACATGCAAAACTAACACGCCGTTTCTGGAATCCAAATATCTTTTGTCAGGAGTCACTGGTGTGGGGAACCATTTATTTTCCTTAGCGTGGATTTCAGAAGAAGTCAAATTAATAATTGATAGAAAATAAGAAATCAAGCTCTTATCCGCAGGGGTTGCCCCCGACTATCCCTCCCGCAGGGAAGTCATGGTGGAGTTCGGTGGGTACATGAAGTGAATTATGTATCGTCTCATTCCAAGCATGAGCTCATCAAGCAACATGACAAGGAAACGTGTTTGCAGAGTTGGGAATCAACTGGAGGAGAGATTCAAGCAGTCTGGGCTGTATTATTCATGACGGGTGAGAATGTGCATTTAAAATATTCTGTACACAAGCGTATGCGCTACACAACCCGGGCTGCCAGACACACACATACACACACCTGGATGAAAGAATGGGATGTCATGATGCTTCCTTTCATTTGTTTTTAATGTTGGTTGTCGGTCAATGTGCCGGGGCGGCACAGCGGAGGCTCAGATTGAGAAACAAATACAAATCAGAAGCCAGTTGTGTGGGGAGCGCCTCAGGGTGTTATTCATTTCCTTTTAACTTTTCCATTTTTTCTCTCTCTCACTCTCCCTGTCCCTCTGCGGTGGCGGTGTGCAGAGAACAACAGCGGCAAAATGGTGTTAGCTCCCAAATGAAATCTTAGGCACAAACACCACAGAGCAGGCTGCCCGCTGGCCGCCGCTGGATGCTTTGCCCTTGAGAAACAAATTTAGACACAAACCACTTTGTTAGCTCTCTGGACAGCCTCCAATAACACCACATTCACCTCTTTTTCCCTGGAAAAAAAGAAAGCTCACAGTCTTTATCTCTGACAGGGACGCATCTGTTTTTAAAAGAAAAGAAAGCAAGAAAGTAGCAGAAACAAAAGTACTTAAGCGCTTGTCTGTTCTTGTTGCAGGTCAATATTTCAGTTGATTTGTTTTTGTGAGGCTTTTTTTTCATATTCAGCTTCATCATTCCACCGAGACGTTTTTTAATCTTTTTGATGTTTTGAGTGTCTAATCTGTGGCTGTAAAAGGTTTACAGCTTCCCTCTTGTTTGAAGCGAGCGTGGTCACCTTGACTTCATGTCGGCTACAATGTATTCCAATGGCTTTCACAGTAGAAAGAAACCTTTTGAACCTCTACTGCAGCATAATCTACCTCTCCACTGTCCTTCTGGATGTTCATCCATCAATCCAGCCATTTTCTGACATTTATCTGGGTTTGCAGTTGGCAAAAGGTTTCAATAGCTGTTGTGCATGACAACTATCGAAGACGGGCCGAAACGTCTGCTGTCATAGAATGGAGCGAAACATAATGAATCACACAAATCGCGATAATGGCACACACTTTTTGGACAGTCTCTCCTCAAAGGCCTTCATGGTGTTGTGCACCATGAAGCAAAGCAAAGCATTTTTCTCCCCCAGCTACATCGTCCAGCTCCTCCTGGGGAATAGTTCATCTGGGCTTTCTGTCAGATAAGAGGGAGAAATGGCCTGGGAACACTTTGCGACTCCAGCGGCCAAATACAATCTCTTCAGTGTGTTCTGGGTCTTCCCCAGGGTATCCTCCGCGTTGGAACA